CATCAGGGGAAATCGCCGAGGCAAATGGAGGCTCCGCGAAAAAAGACTCTGCACCGACCGGGAAACTCCAGCCGAACACCCACGAAAGTAAGAATTCGTTGAAAGTATCCTATAAAGATACTCTAACGAAGAATATTGCTTCTCGTGGTTTTCAAGCCTTTGAAAAATTCAGGGGAGGTTTAGAGGCCAAGAAAAAGCCTTTAGAAATTATTCAGGTACCTGAGAAGTTGGGCAAAGTACTACGGAGCATAGAAAAGGGTCGTGCGTTCCGTGGAGTTAATATTCTCTCCCCGCAGCACAGTGTTAAGGCTCCCCGTTGCCCACAAGTGAAGCCTACACAGCTGCCAAGGCTTAGAGGAGACATCCAGGTTCAGGAGAAGATATACAAGCCTCGGAAAAATCCTCCTACCCCCCAGGTGAAGTTGGAAAGTGCTGAGTCAGATATAGGAAATAGGGGTGGTATTCAGTTTGATATACCCTATGATCCTATCAATGAGACCCTCTTTGGCTACTCGGCACAGCAGAAACCACTACTCCTCGAGGTGTTATGCAATGGGCGACGCCTCCAGGCACTGGTGGACAGCGGTGCATCTCACTCGGTGTGTGACCGCGGAACATTGGAGAAAATTGGAGAGAAGGTGGAGGAGACCCAGTTTTCAGCAACCATGGTGGACGGTACGAAGCTTCCTATCCACGGCGAAGCATCACTGCAGCTGCATATCGGTGCATTGAGGTGGAAGCCGAAGCTACCAGTCACCAACATCAAAGGGTTAGATTTTATCTTGGGGCGAGATTTCCTGAAGCGGTTCAACCCCGAGATCGATTGGGTCAACAGCAAGGTGTGCATCTACAACAACGGGAAGCGGATAGCACTGCGAAGCTGGACGGATACAGGGGACATTCCTGAAACGACACTGGCACGGTTCGAACAGACGGTGAACGAGAGTAACACGGGATACCTAGCACTGGTTATGACAGCAGCAGAGGAGGAGAAGCCGAACACGGAGCTACCTGTAGCAGTAAAGGAGGTCTTGGAGCAGTACAAGGATATAATGCCCGACGACCTACCCGCAGGCGTACCTCCAGCACGCACCCACAAGCACGAGATCGTGGAGGAACCAGGTGCGAAACCCGTCTCACGAGCACCATACCGACTGAGTCCGACCGAACTGACAGACATGAAGAAACAGATAGAGTATCTACTGGACAGACAACTGATCCGCCCATCCACCTCTCCCTATGGTGCACCAGTTCTCTTCACTCCAAAACCAGATGGCAGTTTACGGATGTGCATCGACTACCGCGCACTGAACAAACAGACAGTTAAAAACAAATACCCCATACCGCGCATAGACGACCTACTGGACCAACTGCGTGGTGCAACAGTCTTTTCGAAGCTGGACCTACGGTCGGGTTACTGGCTGATCAAGATGGCGGACAACTCGATCCACAAGACGGCGTTCCGTACCAGATACGGCTCCTACGAATACTTGGTGATGCCGTTCGGACTCTGCAACGCACCAGCGACGTTCCAGGCGGAAATGAACCATATCCTGCGGAAGAACAAGTTCTACGTGAAGCTGTCGAAGAGCGACTTCGCCCTGAAGAAGGTGCAGTTTCTCGGGCACATGGTGAGTGCCAAGGGCGTACACGTGGACCCGCGGAAGATCGAAGCCGTCGAGAAATGGAAAGTACCGGAGAACATGAAGGAGTTGCAGCAGTTCCTAGGCTTCGCCAACTACTACAACAGGTTCGTGCCCCAGTACGCTAAGATAGCAGCGCCACTGACCGACCTACTGAAAAAGGACACGCCCTTCAAATGGGATACTCCTCATCAGCAAGCCATGGAACAGTTACAGACAGCACTGACCACAGCACCAGTACTCATCCTACCGGACCCCGAGAAGGACTACGTAGTTGAAGCAGACGCTAGTGACCAAGCAGTCGGAGCAGTACTGATGCAGGATCACGGGAACGGGTTACAGCCTATCGCTTACCTCAGTAAGAAGCTACACGGAGCAGATCTGAACTACCCCATCCACGACAAGGAAGCCTTAGCAATAGTCGTCGCCTTCAAGGCATGGAGGTGTTACCTAGAGGGAGCCAAGACCACAGTCTATACTGACCACTGCAGCCTCAAATACCTGAAGTCGCAGCCTACGCTCTCACGACGACAGGTGCGGTGGGTGGATTTCTTGGAGACCCACTTCCACTACGACATCGTCTACAAGCCCGGGCTACACAACAAGGCAAACGCGTTGAGCCGCCCCGGACATGTAGCAGGCATCCAGCTCAACGGGATGAACCCTCTGCTCAAGGGTCTATTCCAACATGGGTACTCCGTGGACGCAGAGATCGCTACAGCACAGACTAAGAAGCTGTTACAGTGGGAGAAAGACTTAGCGGTAAGGAAGGGTTCAGGAAAGATTTGGGTACCGAATTACGCCCCGCTACGGCAGATCCTATTGGAGGAGTTTCACGACGTACCTTACGCGGGACATTTCGGGAGCAACAAGACGTTAGCAGGGATAGCAAAGTATTACTACTGGCTCGGGATGGCAGCAGACGTGCAGCAGTTCGTCACCTCTTGCGATACGTGCCAGCAGATGAAGAGTAGCAAGCAGAAAAAAGCAGGGTTACTTCAGCCTCTACCTGTACCGGAGCAGCCATGGCAGATCGTTAGCCTCGACTTCATCACAGGACTTCCTTCGACCTCACGGGGGCACGATTCCATCCTCGTAGTAATCGATACGTTCTCCAAAATGGGTCACTTCATACCGACCAACGCCACAGCTACAGCTGAAGCAACTACTCGCCTCTTCTTCGACCGCATCATCACCATCCACGGCATCCCCGCTACACTCATCTCAGACAGAGACCCCAAATTCACGAGTAAGTTCTGGAAGGAGCTCATGGGACTGTTGGGGACAAAGCTTGCAATGTCTTCAGCATACCACCCCGAGACTGATGGACAGACAGAGCGACTCAATCAGGTGGTTGAACAGTTACTGCGCACAGCTTGCAAAGACGACGTCAGCGACTGGGACACACAGTTACCGACCCTAGAGTTCGCTTACAACAACGCGTCACATGCGGCCACAGGGAAAACTCCTTTTTTCCTGTATTACGGACGGGAACCACTCACACCACAGCAGCCAACCACACCGGCACACGTCCAAGCCGCACATGACTTCGTCACCACCATGCAGCAGCTATGGGAGAAGACTCAGCGACGTCTCACCACGATGCAGAACTCCCAGAAGCAGTATGCCGATCGTCAGCGACGTGATCACACAGTAGCAGTCAGAGATCATGTGCTTCTTGACACGCGCAACTTGAACCTGTCTCACCTTCCATCCAAACTCCCGCCTCGCTTCTATGGTCCTTTTCTCGTTGAGGCACAGGTGACACCAGTTACATTCCGCTTGCGCTTACCAGATACATGGAAGATTCACAACGCTTTCCATGTTCAGCTACTGAAACCCTACAAGGACCCCAACCAACAGTTCCAGAGACGGCAGCTACCGCCACCACCACCTGTTCTTGTGCAGGATGAACCAGAGTACGAGATCGAGCGCGTTCTCACTCATCGGCACCGCGGCAGCAAGACCCTCGAGTTCCTGATACGCTAGAAGAGATACGACCCCACTGAGGACAGTTGGGTTGCAGAAGCTGATATGGGCAACGCACGCCGTGCTCTCAAAGACTATCTTGTCAAGCAGGGTGTATCTCACGCCACCCAGCTTTGAGGGCGGGACGTGTGAGAGTACGTCGGCTTATGCCAACCATGCATGCTTGCTTTTATTTCCTTACGCTATTCCTAGCTTAGGTTTATTTTCTGCATGCATGACTTGCTTCAATTCTTAGGTTCGTTGCTTTCCTATAATTATTATAGTTACAGGCACCGAACCAGGTTACGTGTACTGAACTCAAGTTATTCGGTTGCCACCGAATTGCTTTCTACCGAGTTCGGGAAGGTTCTGTTCGGGACGCTTCGCGACCCTCGGAACATTCGCGTAACACGTGGGTTACCTGCCTTATGTCGAGCCTATATATAGCCTCGTGTTGTACCCAGGTGATCATTCAATTCACATTCTCTTTTCTGAGCTCGATCCTAGATCCTCACAGGTACTCTGCAAACATCGCCTCCTCGCCCGCCACCCCTAACTGTGCAATGTCACGCGCGGCCTGCGCCCACCCACAAACATAGGACAGTGGGCTCAAAGAGGCCGCCGCCCGGATCCCGAACCCTCCGAGTCGCACAGGGAGATGCAGCTGCATGCGTGCGCGCCTAGACCGGTCGGGGTCCTGCTCCCAAGTGCCAGGTGGGAAAAGCTGCTCAAATCAATCCTCCAAACAGCTGTCCCAATCCTTAAAAGCCTCAACCACCTCCGGACGTGGCGGCATAGCCTAAACCTGATCTATTATCCTCAGACCTCCAGCTCTAGTTTGAATTAGCTAACACCCTTGTCTAACATAATCAGACTTGTTTTTGTTAAGGGCAAAAAATTGGTCACCTCCCTGAAAATCAGGGTCAGAATTTCAGCAGCTGAGGGCCTCAAGTTCTGCCCCCAGGGATATCGACAGCCCTGGCACAAACAACCTAGCACGCGCTACATTGTTCCCTCAATCTGACAAAGCAACTCTAACACTCTCGATGACTGCTTCTAGCTAGCCAGCGTAATAACCGACGGTTCGCTACTTACTAATCTAACCAGAGCGCCACGCCCGAGACCGTCTTATGGTAAAGTCTCCGGACCTCCACTGGTTTAGGATTGCGACATCGCGAACGAATAGCGACGTCGCGGCTCGATTGCACAGCGTCGTCGAGAGAAGGGCGCGTCGTGGGACCCGTCCCGTTGCCTTTTCGCCGTTTCACGACGTCATACTACTATGCGATTCCCTAATCGCCGGGTTTATCGCGGCACATCGGTTAAACCCACCCCGCTAAACTTGTCTCCGCCCTGCTTCGCGCAGTAGCCGTGCAATCTCTACTGCCGATGCCCTCTAGCAGCGCATCGGCGAATCGCCGCCACGCCGCCTCATCGCTGCCTCGCCGCCACATCGCCGCCTCATCGCCTCCTCGCCGCCTCGCCTCCAAGCCTCCCCATCGCAGTGACATCGCCGCCGCCTCCTCAGCAAGTGATCGCCGCCCCATCACCGCCTCGCCTCCTCCTCTCGACGCCTGCCGCATCGCCGCCTCCAGGGAAGAAATGCCGATGCTTCCCATGTCCCCACTCTCTTCCCCGTCCGCCTTTCTACGCAGCGTTTCCCAAGTCCTCCTCTCTCCCACTCTGCCCCCCTCTCTCCCCTCTGTCCTCCACTATCTCCCCTGTCCTCCTCTCTCCCGCTTGTCCTCCAATCCGACGGGTTTAGGTCCTCTCTCCGACTGCATCTCGTCTCATAGGCCCAATGTCTCACCCTCCTAAATCCCCCTCTCTTCCAGCCTCGTTTCCTCCCTCTGCTGAAGGAGCCGCATGCAGCAACAGCGTGAGGAATGGGAAGGGACGACGCAGGAGCGCAAGGCGGCGGGGGGGGAGAACCAGACGGCCATCAATTGGAAACAAACCGCTCATGTGCGTTATGGTCCACGCTCAACAAGTAGCGTGCTGCCACGCGCAAACAACCAAGCGCGTGATTCGGCGATCATCTATGACATCGTGGTGAGCCACCCCATTCTAACCCACTGACACACACTCCACACCACAGCACACCGCACTCATCGCCGCAAACAGAGGTGAGTGAAACTGTGAGGCCTCTGTCACACACACACACACACACACGCACACACACACACACACATACACACACACACACATACGCGCGGACACCACAACTCTCACTTCCATCTCCCTCCTCCCCACTCACTCACTGAAGCTCCAACTTCACCACCCTCCTCCCTCTCTCCCACCTCCCGCCCCTCCACCCTCCTAGGTGGAAGGCGTGGGCGCAAGGCAGTGCAGAGCGGTGCAGGAGGGGCCGTTGGGGACGCAGATGAGTGAGGACAGGCAGACGTAGACCCCGTGTCCCTCCGACACGTTCAGTGAGGACGGGGAACGCCGCTGCACGCCCTGCACCGCCAACACCTTCAACCGCTTCCCCTGGGTGCGGCACTCCTTCCTCACCTCCTGTGCTGCTCACATGGGCGCATGGGGTTGGGCGCATGGGGAGGATGGGCGCATGGGGAGAATGGGCAGATGGGGAGGATGGGCGCATGGGGAGAATGGGCAGATGGGGAGGATGGGCGCATGGGGAGGATGGGCGCTGGGGAGGATGGGCGCATGGTGAGGATGGGCACATGGGGAGGATGGGCGCATGGGGAGGATGGGCGCATGGGGAGGATGGGCGCATGGTGAGGATGGGTGCATGGGGATGGGCACATGGGGAGGATGGGCGCATGGGGATGGGTATATGGGGATGGGTGCATGGGGAGGATATGCAGGGTTTCAGAAGAATGTGTCCATGCTGCCATGTCTCGAGAGATCTGCAGGCATGGTGGCCACAGTGGTGTGCACCACATGCCCACTCAACTCACCTCCACCACGGACCTCCCTCCTGTGTGTTTTCCTGCTGCATGGCACTTCCCTTCATAGCATGGCACATGCCATGGGATGGCATGGTGGCACGCATGGCAAGGAGCGGAATGGGCGTGTGATCGGTGTGGCACGGGCACCACGTCCTTGAACGTCAGGCTGGCCTGTGTGCCCCTGGTAGGAGTGAGACCCCCCTTGCTTCCTCACGTTTCCTCCCCTTCATCCCTTCCTCACCCCATTCCACCTCACCCTCCATCCCACCTCACCCCATTCCGCCCCACCCCATTCCGCCCCACCCCATTCCGCCCCACCCCATTCCGCCTCACCCAATACGTTGCCCACCCACCCGCCATAGCCGCTCTTCCTGCCATCTTACTTTGCATCCCCTCGCCCTTCCTACATCTCTCTCTGCGTTCCTTCCTCCTCACCCCATCTCCTCCTCACCCCATCTCCTCTTCCTTGGGGCGCTGTGGGTGGATGACAACAGCAGAGTTGCACAGCAGAGGCGGACGTGGTGCTGCTGGAGTTTCTGCCCTCCCTCACATTCTTCATTTCTGGATGTTTTCTTTCTCCCATCCTCTTTTCTTACCTGCATTCCTTCCTCTGTTCCTCCCTTCATCCATCCCTCCCTTCGTCTGTTCCTCCCTCCTTCCCTACGTCCCTTCCTCTGTTCCTCCCTTCCTCTGTTCCTACCTTCCCCTGGTCGTCCTTCTGTTTGTCTCCTACTGTATTACCAATCCAGGAGTGTCTATTTGTTTCTTCTTCTTCGCAGGTGCTGGCGTGTCAGTTGTCATTCTTCTGTACCGGTTTGCTTACCGCATGATTCAGCTACGAGCATCTGATTTTCACAATCGTGTTTGTACAGGTCCTCCCCCTAAGCATTTGGTTTAGTTGATAGCACTACTAGGCGTGACTTATAGCCATGCCAATGTTGGATGTTCATTATTATACTAATTTTTAATCCATGGAGCAGTGTGACCGTTCACCACTTACAAAGTGCAACAATCAAGTCACAACTAACATAATTATTCAAAGTTATGTCTCTTCCCACTATTGTCGCATATACAGCACCAAGAAGCCAGGGCTTGTGGTTCCCTCCCTCCCTACACTTGGTGCTGGGCACATGTACACTGCATGGGGGGTAACGGGGTGAGTGAAGGAGGAAACACAGTAAGTAGAGGCTGATAAGGGGTGTGAGCAGGGGGAAACAGAATGAGCAGGGGAAAAAACAGAGTGTGAAGGAGACAGTGAGCAGAGGGAAAGAGATTGAGCAGGGGGAAATAGAATGAGCAGGGGAAAAAACAGAGTGTAAAGGAGACAGTGAGCAGAGGGAAAGAGATTGAGCAGGGGGAAAGAGAGTGAGCCAGGGGGAAAGAAAGTAGGCATGGGGAAAGAGAGTGAGCATGTTGAAAGGGAGTGAGCAGGGAGGAAGAGGGTGGGCATGGGGAAAGGGAGTGAACAGGGGGGGAACACAGTGAACAGGGGGGAAGAGAGTGAGCACGGGGAAACAGAATGGAAACAGAATGAGCAAAGGGGAAACCGAGTGAGCAAGGGGGAAACAGAGTGAGGATGGGGGAAGAGAGTGAGGAGGGGGAAACATAGTGAGCAAGGGGAAGAGAGTGAGCAAGGGGAAAGAGAGTGAGCAGGGAAAGAGAGTGAGCAGGGAAAGAGAGTGAGCAGGGAAAGAGAGTGAGCAAAGAAAGAGAGTGAGCAGGGAAAGAGAGTGAGCAGGGAAAGAGAGTGAGCAGGGAAAGAGAGTGAGCAGGGAAAGAGAGTGAGCGGGGAAAGAGAGTGAGCAGGGAAAGAGAGTGAGCAGGGAAAGAGAGTGAGCAGGGAAAGAGAGTGAGCAGGGAAAGAGAGTGAGCAGGGAAAGAGAGTGAGCAGGGAAAGAGAGTGAGCAGGGAAAGAGAGTGAGCAGGGAAAGAGAGTGAGCAGGGAAAGAGAGTGAGCAGGGAAAGAGAGTGAGCATGGAAAGAGAGTGGGCAAGAAGAAAGAGAGTGAGGATGGGGAAAAAGAGTGCGCAGGGGAAACAGGGTGAGGATGCTAAGTGTGAGGGGGCAGGGAGGGCCTTCAATGGCAGGGAATGGAGAGAGGACAGACATCGGATAGAGGGCAGAGAAGGGAGATAGGACGGCGATGGGAGTGGTGGAACAGAGAGCGAGGGGGAACCAGCGGGTAGGGAAAGGGGAATGGTGCGTATAGGAGTGCGGGACAGGGCGTAGGGGGAAGGGGAAAGCCGCCAATAAGGAATCTGGAAAACCAGCGCGTACGGAATGTAGGAAGCAGCGCCGAGGGAAGCAGCGCGAGGGGAAGCAGGGAAGCAGCGCGAGGGGAAGCGGGGAAACTGTGCGAGGGACGCGGAGAGCAGCGCGAGGGGAAGCGGGAATGCAGCGCGAGGGACGCGGAGAAGCAGCGCGAGGGGAAGCGGGGAAGCAGCGCGAGGGAGATGTTGTGTGAGGGTCGCGGAGAAGCAGCGCGAGTGGAAGTGGGGAAGCAGCGCGAGGGGAGGGAGGGTAGAACGAGGGAAGGGAACTGGGAGGGATAGACGGATGTAACGCCAGTCGCTCTGCGTAAAAGACGAGAGCGCGTCACTTGGGTAATTTCACTGGGCTGCAAGATCGCGAGTCGTGACGGTTGAACGGAGCAGATGCTTGAACGTGTTTGCACGTGGTCGCGTCAGTTTTCTCTTCTTTTCCTGGCGACGGTTCTAGTGACGTTTATGGTGCTTATTATCTGCGATCGACGAATACGACTATTTTCAAGGCGCGTGCTTAGTCCGCCAGATACGAACGGGGCGTGCTGCGTGCGCCGTCGCAACGAAATGCGCGCCTACCTAAGTTGCACTGCTATGTCACGGGCGTAAAACGCAACCTGTGCGGGCGAGATAAACTCTGGGCGGGTGCGATAAAATCAATGGGCGGGCGCAGGAGCGACGTTATGCCGTCTCGTCAACACCACCAACGCTCAGATGATGGCCGTGCGATGTGGTTGTGGTTGCTATGCTGTTCTGTGCTTGCAATATGTGTGTCGAGGTAAGAGAGTCACAGGTATTGAGTCACACGCATCATGGTTCACAAACTGCCTGGTTGTGACTCAAGTTCCCAACTCCCATTTGGCCCATCGCAATTGACGACGGGGGAGAGATGTTAAGAATAGTAGCTAGTACTTAGTAGCCATAGTTAGGGTTTTGGGTACTAGTATGAGAGAAGACGGTTGCACTAGTAAGCAGGGCAGTACATATAGCAAACCCTAATCGGGCTGTACTCCCTATAGAGTACCCCACTGCAGACTAGAGAAATAACACATTCTGACAAGAGACACCCCGCGCAAGTCCGCCAACACTGAAGTGTGTTTCGCGTCGGACTCCCAAGACAAACATGGTAACCACGACTAGGCAAGTGATAAACCTTTGCTTCCACCCCCCCCCCCCCCAAAGTGCACCCTTTGCTTCCAGACGGTCTAATATCCGGGAAAATATTATAATTTTTAAAAGTGTAACACTTTTTAAAATTTCGTATTGTGAAAGCGAGGACATGGCCAGCAAAGCAAAGGTAGCGGTTCGACGCTACTCACCGTTCTTTTGCCTACAAAAGAGGAACGTGAGTTCAGTAGCTCCACCCTCGTTCTTCATTTCCAATTTTCTAGTTTTACTTTCCCACCACCCACCCCATTGTGTATCATGGATGTACGAGAACGTTGTAAACCCACTTGGAATGAAGCACGCTGCCTTTGCAAGATGGACTAAGCAAGCTTTCACAATATGGTACTTGTACTCTGCTAGAAAGGCATAGTGCCGTCGTAGCGGAAGCCTTGTTTGTAGAAGAGAATAGCAAGAGAACTTTGCAACTGAATGGATTGATTAAGAAATGACAGAGCATGGTATTTATCCAAGTAGCTAGCCCCCCCGGGATGGATTCATCCACACCAATAATGCCACACCAATAATTCTACCCGCCAATAATTCTTACCCTCCAATAATTCACCCTCCAATAATTCTAGACTCCAATAATTCTGGCCCTCCAATAATTGTACAATTATTGGAGGGTTGGGAGTCTTATAAAGGAATACTACAGTAAAATCTAACAGCATCTGTTTTACTGAGTTTTGTCTTGGAGGATACCTGTAAACGGCGCTGATTGTGGTAGAAATTTTGGTCACGACGTTGATTGCAGAGAGAATTGGGTCGACTTTTGTGTTCGAGGATCACGTCAGCGATGATCGTGGCGACCTGATTTTGGTGCAGGGTTTCCGTTGGGACAGCAGCAGGTGGGTTGGTCAAGATGTCGTGTAGCGAAATTCTACACGATCCTCGTCAGGTGTGCACCGTCCATCCCTGTCACGCCCTTGTTTCAATTTGTCGCCTATCACAGCTGCAGTTTCTCCCACACCCCTCAATCCGCAGGGGTTCTCTCGAAGCTGGTCATTCTGTCTCAATTTCTCGTTCCTTGTTACTAAAAGCTCCTTCCAACTCCAGATCTGCTAGTGAGGTTTTCTCAAGCTATGGCTGCTGCTAGCGCGAAATGCTGTTCTAGTCCAGCGCGACCTGCAGTAGCATCATGACTTAACATTCATGTCGCACGACTGCTGCAAATGTCGCGCGACTGCTGCAAATGTCGCGCGATCGGTTCTCCTGACGTGCAGCTGCATCGGAGACTCGGCGACAACCTCTAGCAGCGTCTAGCTCATGTGCGTTTTCACAGTTGTGCGGCGACAGCAGTGCGTGACGGCTGCGGCTGATGCGTTTCTGGCGTGCTACCGCTTCACTGTGCATATCGCTGCTTCTCCTGGCACGCGGTCGCGGATCCGCAGCTGCATGTGCGTCGTGGCAGCAGCAACTGACTGTCAAACATTTATGCTATAGTCTGTCTAGGCTGTAGTGAGGTAGACACTATGGGGTACAGTTTCCTAGGGTTTCATATTTGTACCCAACTCCTTTCCTAGTCCACCATTCCTCATTCTTTACATGGTATAGAGCGGGTTCCCTAGTGGGACCGTTTCTTCCTAGGGCCCACCTTCGAAAAAAAAAAAAAAAAAAAAAAAAAATTGCCTGCCCTAAGCGCGCTTCGCGTCCTGCCCTAAAATTTCGCGGCCCCTTAGTGGCCTGCCCCTTAACGGCCCCTTAGTGGCCCCCTTTGCGCCCCCCCCCCCCCTTAGTGGCTCCTTCGCGGCCCCCCCTTAGCGGCCTCTTCACGGCCTCTTTAGCGGCCCCTTTGCGGCCTCTTCGCGGCCCCTTCGCGGCCCCTTAGCGGCCCCTTCGTGGCCCCTTAGCAGCCCCTTTGCGGCCCCTTAGCGGCCCCTTCTCGGCCCCTTCGCGCCCCTTCGCGGCCCCTTAGCGCCCCCCTCGCGGCCCCTTCGCGGCCCCGCCCCGTTGCCCGTAGCGGCCCCGCCCTGTCGCCAGTCGCAGCCCCGCCCCGTCGCCACCCGGGTGTCGCCCCTGCCCCGTCGCGACGCCTCAGCGGGACCCGCGCGTCGCCCCCGCCTTGTCGCGACGCCCCTGGGGGACCCGCGAGGCGCGGCTCCTGCGCGTCGCGACGTCCCAACGGGACCCGGGCGTCGCCCCCGTGTTAGAATCTAGATGTGAACGAGAATGATGAAACTAGACAGCAGGGTGATACAAGTAGGCAACCCTAACAATGTTGTACCCCCTAAGGCTAAACCCACTATAGCCTACACAATATAAACATATATAATGTTTGACACACCCCCATAGGCTAAGTGGGAGACAACCAGATGGTCACAAGACCAGTCAAAGCAAAGCAAAGCAAGCTCAGGGTGGATCTCAAGGAAACCACACAAATTCTGAGCACAAGCAAGTGGTCACAA